AAACCAAACCGCGCAATTGCTTGACTCTCTGGCTTCACGCTGTAGGGCGGCCTGTCAGTCAAGAGAGACCCACTTGGACTCTCAAACAAAGCCAACCCTGTAATAAGTTAATTCGATATTATTCGTGCTCCGAGGAAAAATGATGTGATTGAAACTTCTCAAAGGTTGGACTCTTAGCTCTTGTCAGGATAAGTTTATTTTGTGATATACCTTGTAGAGACCAGTCAGAAATCCAAATTGGATCTCAAGCAGTAAACTGCATAGAATTTATCGATAAATAGTTTTGATGAAGCTTTTTGAACCAGGTTAGAAGTTAATTCTTCAGACGCTACTCGCATAAGTTCCACCACATCATGAAATATGTGGGCTTTCTTGTTGCCCAGGCCTACTGCAAAGAAAAAAAAACTCCACATGGTTCTGTCAACCTTGCTTGTAACAGCACGCAAAAAAAAGTACCGGTACAAGCCAAATCGGGGAATCCAATTTCTTATCAATCGGGGATCCAAATTCTTTATTCTTAGTTATAGAGTGAAGTTGTCATTCAGCAATTGTTGCTTTAGGACCCAACTTGGCTCGTTAGTGGTCTGTCTGGGATGGGCAAGGCACATCACCCATACCCGTTGGAAAATTGGAAGGGTGGCATAATGTTGCTGTTGAAGACAATTGGTCGATTTTTCCCAGCTGGCGGGCTCGCGTTACTTCTTGCTTACATGAACGGTCATTTCTAAGGGGGTGTCCGAAGTGAAACGTCGACATCCGCTGACATCCGTTTGGGGATGTCGATGAATATCAGCCCTCGGATCGGGGATTCCGACCGTCAGGATTCGCTGACATCCGCTGGGAATGTCGATACATATCAGCCCTCGGATCGAATATTTCGACCGTCAGGATTCGCCGAAATCCGCCGACATCCGCCGACATCCATCGACGTTTCACTTCGGACACCCCCTAACTAAGATGTGTGGTCCGAGTGCCATGCTGTCATGGTACACCCTGTTTCTCGACCCTCTCACCTTGCGCGATTCGCTGCTACAGTGCGGTCAGGTGCCATAAACCGTATGGCTGAAACCTGCGGGCAAAGCCGCACCAGCTGACGGAGTGGTACTGGGGGCAAAAATTTTCTTTATCGCTGTATACCCTTTTCAACCGCTTTGAAACGCTTGGTTAATGTTCTTTACCATGCAGCATCCTAGCTAACCGCTTTCTTGTGAATGTGCTTGTACCGTCGGTGATAAGACCATTTCAAACGTGGTGACGTTCTACAACCAGTGCATGTTCTGCAACCAGATGCTCTGCTAGCGCGAAACAGGGTGTATGGCGGTGATGTCTTGACGCAAAGCATGTGTTAGGACTAAATTAATGCAGTAAATGCAGTTACGACACATTCACTCCCTCCCCTACTCCTCCCTCCCCTCCCCCTCCCTCCCACCCCCTGTCAACTCCTCTACCCCGCCCTCTTTCCCCCCCCTCCCCCTCCCCCCACTCGCCTCTCTCGTACCCCAACCAGCGCTGCGGGGCAAAACCTCCTTGCCTGGACAACACCTGCTCCAGATCAGAGCAAACCTGCAAGTTGATACAGTATTCTATTCCATGGATTCCAACAGATCTTTCCCTCGTGTCGTTTCCTGCACGTGTTTTGAGTGTACAGTGCTGAAAGAGAGCTGGATGCTCCAGCCTGGCCATGTGAATCCTGGCAGTAAGTACAGTGCGCAGTATAAGGGCGTATCTCTGGTTCCGGTCACTTGCACTGTTCATTCAACTGTTTGGGTCATGCGTAAAATGCGCATGACCCGAAGTGGGCTGCCGAGCCGCGCGCGGCCCCAGCTTTGGGTCAATATGCAGGTGTTGGGCGACTGACGTGCACGACCCTCCCCCAACCAATCACCTGGTTGCACGATTCAAGTGAGATTGCCATCTTTTTGGCCGTCGTCAGTCGAGTGCCACAATTTTGCTATGCACCGTATTCTATACCTCTGCACCTAACCACTCAGCAAATTGATCCCAGTGACCCCCGAATGTGTCTTGAATTTCCCGCGTCGCGCTCCCAACATCTGGGGATTCATGCCGACATTTTTGACGATTTTGTTTTTAGATGGGTGTCGCATGGTTTTGCGTGGGTGTATCAAATGATCTTTCGAACTGTTCTGGCATCCCTCCATTGGATGCGACTGTTGTTTGGGGCGTAACATTGGCGCGAAAAAGCCTCGCGCCAATTTGGAGGTCGCATGAGTACAAGTGACCCAAAGTGGTGTTTTGTGCTGTTCCGAGCATCCGCAATTCGCGCATGCCCGGAACAGTGCAAGTGACCGGAACCAGAGATACGCCCTAGCAAATATGTTTAGCCTAATCGCAGGTTTTTGTTGAGAGTTTTTGTGGAGTCCCACAACTTCCATCAGCATTCACCATGACCAGATGGTACATACGTAGGAATCTCCTTGGGCTAGTGATGTTGATGTTCTGGGAGCAGCGAGGATCATCCAGCCACACCAAATTCATGTCGAGACCACCCTGCAGGACTGCCCACACTGTGCTCTATTTCCTGAATCCTCAAGCCATTTGTCTCTGGACCCCTCCAACACTCCCCCCACCCTCTTCGAAAATAACCCCACTGTATACACTGTTTTTTATAACATATCTTCAGAACAGTGTTAACCCATCCCCAACCCACCCTCACACATGTGCGACGGACGAGGCCGGACATGTGTTCCTGCGGGCTGCTCGCCACTGTCGGCTGATAGTTGCAATCGAATCAGAGTAGGTGTTTGCTTTTATATCGGTGAGGTGGGTTGAGTTCAGGTGGAGTGGCTTACAGTGATGGTAAATGGTGTCGAATCAGATCTGACATTTGTCATTTCACTGTGCAATAAACCCTCCCTCCCTCCCCCCTCCCTCCTTCCCCCACCCACCCACCCCTTCCCCTCTTGTTGCATCATGAGCGGTGCTATTTTCCACACTCTCGTTGCTTCCATCCGGCACACTGTATACAACCTTCTGCCGCACTGCCCACCAGGCCTGTCGATTCAAGGGCATATGCCCTTAATGCCCTGAAAATTCAGGGTTACTTTCGCTCCAGCTCGACTGCATAAAGTGCTAGATTCGCACAGCACCCGTGCCACTAAGTGCCTCGGTCGACCCTTCCCCGGATGCGTTAAGTACCCAAACCAGGCCTTCCCCTGTCTCAAAGTTGGTTTCCGGTTGTAAGACCCCCCCCCCCCCCCGAATTCTCCCCTCCCTCTTTTTCCTTAGGTTGCAGGAGAGGAGTGGATTTTCCTATTAGCGTTTTCTGACCAATCCTGTGTTTATAAAGTGTCTAAGTTAGCTGGGAGAACCTGAATTTTCCTTTAGCGCCCAAGTGCCCCCCCCCCCCCTCCTTCTCCTTAGGTTGCACGAGAGGAGTAGATTTTTCCCTTGCGTTTTCTAGCCAATCCTGTGTTTATAAAGTGTCTAAGTCAGCTTCGAGCACCCGAATTTCCCCTTAGCGTCTAAGTGCAAACTCTTCACAAGCCCGGATTTCAAGTTTTCACTTTGGGGTGCGCCCGTGACCGTTAAGGGTGCCCAAACGCTCAGCTACACCAAAAACAGGGTCAGATGGGAGGAGCTGGGGAGCGCAAGTATGGGCCCCAGGAACTTCGACTGGCCTGCTGCCCACCAACCAACCAGCCAACTCCGAGAGAGACCCTTTTGGCCGTTCATCACGCGAATCGTTGCAGTTCGATCAAAACCAATCGCGCCGTCCATGCTTGCCTCCTGGAGTTCTCACTGACCTCACTTCTTTCGTTACATCCAGTGCCAGCCCAGCAGTTCGGTTCGGCCACGCAGCAGGTCATCAGTGTGGTGGGGCAAGAGGTGCCCAAAGGCCTCAAATCGGATCGGAGCAAGAATGCACACAAAAATAATGCGACTCGGCTCCCTTCGAATACCCCATTCATTCCTCAAATTCTGACTTCCATCCCAGCCAATCCCAGCATTCACTCCAGCCAAACCAGCCAATCAAAATTCGTGAAGCTCCTTGCTACAGAAAACAATCCCCCTTCCAACAAAACAAGCCGGGTCGTGTCGACTCGGATCCAGGTCCTCCTCCTCTGGTCACATTTCCTTGCATTGCAAAAGCCCTTCGCGTCGCTTGCGGGCTGCTTGCAGCAGAAACAAACCCACTCCATCAGCCTCCCTGTAAATTGTGTCGCACGCACTCGTGCACATCGTATTTGAGTCTTCTTGAACATCGTACCTCGAGGCAAGCATCCATAAAGCGCTCCATCGCGATTTCAACCTTTCACTTCACACTCCCTGGTAGAACCTTCAGACGCGACTCACTGATAAAAAACCGATTGACAGTGCAAAGTCTTGCCTCCCGATCCCATTCGTCTTCGCCTTTACGGACGAAGTCCAGGGAAATTACGCATATTTGCTTTTGACATCGCCACTACCGTGACACTCCACGTCTCGTTGGCTGAGAAGTGCCATGGCGGCGCATATGGACTATCAGTCGTGTCGCTACTCCAGCTGGTGCCCGGACCGCTACGACGCAGATGAATGTAAGCCAGCTTTTCCGTCACGCATCTAGGAATGCCCTCTCTGTCAGATCTTTCCACGCTGTCTTAATTCTCCTGCGCGAAACAATGTAGTGTTGCGTCGCGTTGTAACATCCGTCAGATAAACTAAGTCCACTCACGATGATCGTGCATCTGCTTTCATGACGACGCGCAGGGTACGAAGCCATGGACCAGCATTACGCCATCGACACAGCATCATCATGCTCAGGATCATCAACAACGGCGGCACCATCATCCTATTACACCAACGGCGCCGGGGGTCCCGCGTCGACGGTGCAAACTTCGCTTCATAACAGCTACTACAATCCAGCGTCGACTACTACCACCACCATCAGCGGTCGCACTTCGATGATGATGCCGCTGACGGCAAACACGATGATGACGGTTTGCGAGGACCAGCCGCCATTTGCTTCGGCCGCCGCCGCTGCGTCCGTTCCGCGGGCCTTTATGCCGGCGGTACCGATGACGAACGGTGATACTACTAGCTCCGCTGAAGCCGGTGGTACAAGGGCGAATGTAGCGACCAGGATGATGATGATGATGCCGTCTGCAGCCGCGGACGAGGAAGCTGCGAAGCTCTCAAGCCCCTTCGACTGGCGAGGTAGGCTGGACTGGACCTCTATAAGTACTAGAACTGGATAACGTTTGATCTCTGTGTTGAGTTCATCATGTCTCAAGTTGAGCTTCCGCTCCTCGACACTTTCGTCACCTCCCCTTCTTGACAGGACAGTTCGTCACTTGCTCGATTCGTATTCTCGCAATTTCATCCTCGTTGGATAAATGCTAGCGCTGTCCCATGTCTCTCGCCGCGTGACACTCGCCGTGTCCGATTGTGTCTCGCGCCGCGTCCAATTGTGTCTCGCACCGCGTCCAATTGTGTCTCGCGCCGCGTCCAATTGTGCCTCGCGCCGTGTCTCACCCGCCGCGTCCAATTGTGTCTATCGCTGTGTCCAATCATGGCATTAATCCGTCAAGGTCCGGACGCTCCCCTCCCCCCCCCCCCCCCCCCCCCCCACCCCTCCCATTGCAGAGCTGGAGGCGTCATGCAGAAAGCTGGACGAAGCCAACATTCGCATCACAGAACTCGACATCACATGCCTCGGCAGCCCTACCACCAGCGACTCCGCATTTGATGCTGACGCTGACGGTATTTTTGGCAGCAGCGGCGACAGCGACGGCGGTGGTGGCGGTGGCAGTTGCCGTGGCGGCAACGGGTACAGGTCGCACGTGCAAGTGCGCTACGGAATCACGTGCGAGCCCGCGGACACCTCTTCCGTCTCCGCTAGACCCGCTATCAACGGCGGTAGTGGTGCTGCTACCGTTGGTGACATTGGAATGATGGCTCGTCAGACCCACGCAAGTCAGCCCCGGCACCCCACGCATGTCTATGGCTTCCCTCCTGTGCATCATAAGCTCCCTCCTGCAGCCGTTCATCACATGCCGCTGCCATCCTCTGTGCACGTGCGAAGGTCTCAGGAAGTCAACGCTGTCAATGACAGACGTCATATCCATGTTCACAGTGCTGCAACCAGCAGCAGTAAAGGCGGCAGCGTCCGCAGCAGAGGCGATGGAGCTACTGATGCTTCAAGTGGGCACGGCTCCTTCGCTCGTCCGCGCTCTGCATCCACAATTGCTGCGCTTTCCTCGATTCTTGGGGGTTCCGCGACAAGGCTGGAAGGTGGTGGCGGTTCGGGCGCATTCTCTCTTCAGCCATCCAGCGGGTTTGGCCCCACAGGCTCGGGCTCAGATTCGGACCCAGTGTCGGGATGGAGGTTTGGGCCGTCACCTGCTCGAGGTGCTCCAACTACCAGCGTTGTGGTACCACCTGGTAATGATGACTCCGTGGATTCGGCTGTTGTGCCGGAGTCTGGGAGCAATGACAAGGCTGCAAGCAGTGACAGCAGCGATAGTGTTCCAGTATCCTGCGGAAGCTCCAGCAACAGCAGCAGCAACGCCACTGACACTAACAGCACTGCAGACGTCGCCAACGAGGAAGGCATGGAGAACAGTGACAACACCAAGGTTGCTGGCACTGGCAAGCCCAGTGTCCATGAAACCAGTCCAGATACAAACAGCAAGGTTTCTAATAGCAGGTACAGCAGCACCCAAGGTCCCGGCAACACCACCAATGGGAAGTCTTTTTCTCGCATCATGAGGGCGTTTGCAGACCGATGTCAGCGAGCCTTCACAATTACACCAGGAAGAGGCCGTGCACTGAGAATGACTGCAGCAGTACAGCACCGCAGGTGCAATAGTAACGAGAGGCTAGACCAGCTTCACATAGCTATGACGTAGGAGCAGAGGTTACATAGAGGTGTGTCGATAAATGTGTACTGTATGCATGCTTCCAGTGGGGAGCCTTCTCATAAAAGATATTTCTCTCACTGCACAACTATTTCTGGTAGAAACTCTAATACCGTGTATAGGATGTTGTGTTGTGGGTCAGAGTGTGCATTATTTACAGTTGTGCCTTTCTGTAAGGAATTTTCTCGGCATTCCTTACGGAGCCGACTACATCGCGTACAGCAACAGCCGATTGTTCGCCCGTTACTGCTAACGGAACTTCGCCGACTTCGCGCGCACTGTTTTACCAAACCTCGCACTGCTGGCATGGCCGTATCGGCCTACGCTTCGGGACTAGCCCGAGCCTCGCTCCAGCGTAGCACTAGCAAGCTCGCACGCACCGCGTTACCGTTTTGCATGTTTCGCGTATAAATGTTCGCTCATGCCTTCGCTCACATTTTGTACTCGTTTGACACCTTAGTGCAATTCTCGCTACCTCGATTCATTGCACCCGTAACACTTTCCATTTCTTGACGAATGACGACGACCATTGAAAACCGCGTTACACGTCGTGGCACACCACCTGGTTCTGGTTTCAGCGACCCCAAGACTCTACTTCGAGCAAGCGGGTTACCGACAGCTGTTTAGCACTGTTATTTGGGGTTCCGCGGGCGCGACGATTTTCTCAGCTGTGGTTCCGCGGGCGCGACGATTTTCTCAGTTGTGGTCCCGCGACGCGCATTCTGAATCCTGATCAGGTGAACATCCGCATGACGTTTTGCAGATAATCAAGTTTTTGGTGTTTGGTGAATCCCAACCAACCAACCAACCAAGCCAGCCCAGCAAATCGGCCTGCCCGACCGAACCGAACCGAGCTTCGAGAGCTTCGCTTTTTCACCTGTCACCCACCACCAAACTCGAAAACCATCATGCACTCGCATTCACCACTACGTCATCGTGCCCCATGATCCCTGGGGGACCTGGAAGGCGGGGATAATCCACCACCACCACATAGGCGACGGCTGCGCGAGCCCATCCACATGATCCACCAGGGCAATACCTGACCAGCCCAGTCACGCATTTCCGCAAGATGAATGCGAACCACATCACCCACACCGGACCTACTGGTTTGGAACGAGTCGGAATTTGCCTGACAATATCTGGCACAAGCCTTGGATAATTTCCCGTCGAAGCACATTGAGCTTGTACTTATGGGATCCGGTTGTGACACGGACAAAGAAAACCGCAGAAAGAAACCAGCCTGTCCCACTTGACCGAGAGTACAGTACCTGTGGCATCTAAATGACCTAGCCTTCCAAACTCACAATATTCAATTTCGAAGCCCACGGTCACCACCATGAATTTTGCTCTCTTGCCTATCCCAACAAATGCATCCATGCAGCATACCTATCTGCACCACATCATCCGAACTCACTGATCGCAGATTTCCTTCCGAACCTCTCCGATTCTCCTTTTTCTGGAGATTTCACCGTACCTTCATGCCATGCCATGCCATGCCATGGCCCTCCAGCTTGTGTGCGCTTCTGGCACCTCAACATCCTAGGAATGGGAAACGCCGTACCCCCACCTGATCTAGTCTTGATCGATCAGGTCATAATAAGAGTCTCATGTGTATTATCAACTCATTGGTTTCATAGTTCTCGGAAGAAGTGGTGATGAACTAATATTAGTCTTGCACTTGTCCAATTCCGACCAGATATTGTAGTGTTTGCTACCGCGCAGCTAGTACTTCTTCGTGGATATCGTCGAAGTCGCGCCGCTAATCTCACACCGCAAGTTGGAGATTCTTGTCCCGCGTAGCCATTGCTGGCCGTAGCTGTGTGTCCATACTCTTTTCTCGACATCAGTCAATCATGTCAGCACCAGATTATCAGTACCATGACCAATCACATCCAAATCAGTATCAAGTCCATGCTCAACCGATCCAGCAGCAGCAGCAGCAGCAGCCATACACAGATCAGTCGGTCCAGCAGGCTGGCTATCAGCCATCATCAAATCAGGCGTATCAACAGAACTACCAAAACCAGCAACAGTTAGCGACGGATCAATCACAAGGGCATGCCGTCGAGCATCGGCAACAGAATCAACACGAGTACCCACAGCAACAACAGCAGTACCAGCATCAACCACAACAACAACAACCATACCGGCAAGACCAGCCACACCAGCATCAACAGCCTTACCAGCAACAGCAGCAACCGCAGCAACAGGAGTCGTATCATCAGCAGCAACAATATCAGCAGCAGCAGCAGCAGTATCAACCGTCAGTTCCAGACTACTCGCAACAGCAACGCTACCAGCAGCCTGAGAGCCAATCCCAGCCTTACCAGGAACAGACCGTCCACGCAACGCAGTACGCTCAGCAGCAGCAGCAGCAGCAGCAGCCGGCGACTCCGCAGCAGCAGCAAGGAGAGCCTCCACAGGAAGATGGAGCAGTGCCGGTACAGCTGAGCCCGGAGCAGATGGCGGAGCTATTGGAGGACATGGCTCGTTTGGACACCATGAAAGTCATTCTAGAGCCAGGAATTCTTCTCTCCGATCAAGCAACGATTCTCAATCTAGCGTACGTTTTCACTCTTCTCGTCAGATGTCCTCTGTTCTCGTCGTCGTCCGCTTCGTTCCTGGATCGAAGCGTCCGCTACCTCCGATCTGATCCAAACCGTTCTGATTGATCCGCGGCCTTCTTCCTCCTCTCTCAAACTCCCATGACCCCGACCTTTTTCTTTGTGAATCCGAGTTATTAGTTCTTCCTTCCGATGCTGTTTCACAAGGACCCTTGATTTGGGATCACTCTATCCTTTCTCTCCGGAACCTGCGCTCTCCTCTGTCCCCCAGTCCCTTCTATCCCGCAGTCCCTTCTTTCCCCCACTCTTCCCGTTACTCTTCCGCAACCAACCCTCACTCGCTTTCCCGTACCGATCTCTCTTCCGCAATTTCCACCTTGCCATGCCGGTGCTTCCCTCGTCTCGTTTCCTCCTCTTAATCACGCCCTAAATTGTCCCTCCCTCCGCAGCTCTATTCGCGCCAAGGCCACCACGACCGCGTACACCCTTCCAGACATGCTTGCGGATCTGAATTCCATATGCGAGCCCTTTCTGAGCCGCGGGCCTGAGTACGCGGAGTATGGGAAGAAGTTTCTGGAGAACGCGAACAACGCGATCGTGGAGGCCGTGCAACGCGCGCAGATGCTGGCCGCTGGATACACTCTAGAACAGGTGCGGCAAATCCAGCAGCAGCAGCAGCAGGCGCAGCCTCAGGCACAATATCAGCAGCAACCGCAGCAGCAGCAGCAGCAGGATCCGAGCAACCCGTACCAGCAGCAACAACAACCGACTAACGTTTACCATTCGCAGCGGCAGCCGCAGCCACAGCCGCAGCCGCAGCAGCGGCGGCGACAGCAGGGCGCTCAACCGCCAGTAGGTGCAGCCGGGACCAGCCAAGGCGAGAATGGCTGGCTCGAGCTTGTGGGGGAGGAAGGCGTGGGGGAGAGCGGAGACGTTGCACCTCCGGCAGTGAATGTCGCGACGAGCAATGGAGGGCTCTCCGCCTCCAGTGCGCGCATGGGCCAGAGCAATCTCACAGGTGCCAGTAGCGGCTCCCGGGGGGGAATTGGCGGAGGGGGGGCAGGAGGCGGAGTGTCGTCAGGAAAGGGCTCGAAAGGGAGTTTCGGGGAGAGGAAGCCAGACGCGCAGAGAGCGAGGGTGGTCGGGCGGCGGTGTGAGGTGTGCGCGGTGATCAAGAAGGCTGGGTGTGGCACAGACGCGGCTCACTTCAGGTGCCTGAAGCGCAAGAAGCCGGAAGCTGTTCCCGAGATTGAGAAGAACCTGGTGCGGCTGGGAGACGTGGGGGACGAGGAGAGGGTGACGGTTTGGAACCCTGCCGAGGGGAGGAAGCTGAGCGGACAAGCGGCACCTATGATGAAGAACCTGGCGGGATGGCTGGCGAACCATCCTGGCTGGGAAGCACATCCTAAGGGCGCTGTGGTCCCTAGTAACAAGTAAGATATGTCTGCAGTATGTTGGCTTGGGCTTGTCCTGAAACAGCGCAGCTCCCCTTTCTCCCCTCCATGTGATGTGTTAGACAGGGTTTAGAGGAAGTACAGCACAGGATGAAGAGCGCATTCTAATCTCTTCCTCTTCCCCCCTCCTTCCCTTTGTGCGTGTGTGTGTGCGTGCCTGCATGTGCGTGCATGTGCGTGAGTGCGCGTGCGTGTGTTTGTGTGTATGTTAATACTTTATGTGTGTGCTGGGAGTGGGTGGTGTTGGTGTGTGGTCGGAGCAGGAAGCTGAAGGATGCTTCTTCTGATCGAACTGGAGGCTCGCATGACTCTCTAGGGAGAATGGGGCAGCATGGTCAACAGCTCAATTCGCAAAAACCTCAGTTCCATAGACCACAGCAGCAGCAGCAGCAGCAGCAGCAGCAACAGCAGCTTCAGCAGCAAAGGCAGTATCCACCTCAGCAAAATTCTCATGGGCAATACCAGCAGCAGCAGCAGCAGCAGCAGCAGCATCAGCAGCAGTTTCAGAAGCAGCAGCCACCACTCCCCCCACAACAGCGGCACCAGCAATATCAACCGCAGCAACACCAATATCAGGAGCAGCAGCAGCAACAACACCAATATCAGCAGCAGCAACCACAGCACTATGAGCAGCAGCAGCAACAACAATATGAACAGCAACGGCAACAGCAATTTCAGCCAGTACAGCAGGAGCAAGCACAGGCTGCTAACCCCCACCAGTTTCAGCAGCACCAGCAGCAAGCAGGCATGCATCCCCAGCATCCAGTCAGCCACCATCAGCCACAGCAGCCAGCAATAGCAGCCTCCAATCTGCAACAGGTCTCTAATTTCTAAATTTGGCCGAGTGGCCTCATGGTGATGTTTAGGGCCCAGCTCCTCCGTGTACCGGTAGTTGTATTTTCCTACTCCCATCGCATCAGCCAACCTCATTGTATTCTGTCCAGTTAGCGGGCAGGTTTGCTGAATGGTGTAAATGGACAGTATTACTTGCCAAGGCATCCTATCACCGTAGCTGGTCTTGAACTATGCAAAGGGCACATCAGGTGGCGATGATTCTTTGTTTACGAGCCTGATATGAGATTCCGTATTCCATCTGCCATTATTGGAAGAGCTTAGAAATTGAAGCTTGGTGCAAAAGCCATTCTAGGGTACCGTAAGTGGTATTTTTGTCAAAAGTGTACCACCGGATAAGCTTCGCCACCTTGCTCAACCCATTTTCACACCCGTGATCTAACCGAGCCAATCCCAAGGGCTTCGCCTCGCAGGGTTCCTCCCACTGAACCATGACCATTGAGCAACCATGAACCCAAGGGCCGAATCAAGGCCCAGACATAACTCATCTGGGGAACGTCAAATCTGGATTCGAATCCATCAAGTAGCCAATAGTTCCAACAGAAGTTGTTAGATCAGTAGTTGTTCCTCCCTGCTCCCGTGCTCTCGTGCTTGTGCCTGTGATCGATCTCCCGTTTCGCATTAGCTGCACTTGCCTCGTTGCTGGTTGCCAGCAGAGCATCTCGTCTGAGCCTGTCGCCTGCCGCGCGTGCGGTTTATATGTGGTTAACCGGACGTTGTTATAACGAAGCGAATGCGTTGTATCTGTAACGCTTTGTTTCATATTCGAAAAGCCTGATTTGAAAACAAGAATGCGCCATATTACGAGCGAAGAGCGACGTTGGTGCGCTGAAGACCGCCATTACTGACGACGCAGAGTGCACGTTCTTGCTTCGGCCTGCGAATCGCCTCCGCCATTCGAATCTCAGTCACAAGAGCAAGAAAATCAGATCCAATGGCGCCGCTCCTACTTTATCCTAGATCTCCATATTTCCCTTCACAGTCGTCGCGTCTCGACGTCTGGGCTTCCTCGTTTCGTGCGTCTTATCCAATCGTGCTTGCTCTCATCAGCATCTTATTCTGTCTAGTTCTTCACCTGGCCGTCACAGCTGCTTTAACCGCACAGTCAAGTCAGCCGGCTAACCGACCGGCTCCCAGCATCTGCCTAGCTGTTGACGGCGTGAGCGCAGCGGACTTGACGCGAGAATGGGAAGGATCCGGTGACGTCGGCGACGCGAATCAGCAGCAGCAGCAGCGGGAGAAATGGCAGCAGGAACAGGAGTTCCTTAAGACCCTTGTCCGCAGTGGTGCTGCTGCTGGTTGTCCTGAAAAGGCCACCACCAGCAGCAGTGGCCCCAGTAGCAGCAGCAGCACCAACAACGAGACGACGACTTTCGACGACGTCGCGGACCAATGGTGGTGCAGCGGCGACGATTTTAACGAGTTCATATCGTACCTTGTCGCAAATGGGGCTAAGGAAGTAAGAACGATACTTCAACTCACCGATTTGTCCTCTGCCGTTGCAGAGTGCTTTTGAGAATCCTCAGAAGCACCCTACTTGTCCTCAGCCCTTGTCCTCATACCACCTCGCACCACACTCCTTTTCCCCTTCTCCCTCGCCGCACTCCGTTCCTTCAATCTTCACGCTTCTCTCCTGTTACCCATTTCCCTCGCCCCTTCCCCCTCACCCCGCTACCCCACCGCCTTGCAGCTCACGGGTCCTTCCCGGAAGGTGCGGGTCACATGGGGAGAAGGATCAGGGGGGAATGAGGAAGCGCAACCGACGGAAGGGGGAGAAGAGATCAGGGGCGAGAGGGGGATTCGCGCAGCGCGCGATTTGGCTCGAGGAGAGGTGATCGCGACCATTCGTTTCTCGGCCGCGCTGGTGCAAGGAGAACATGACCCCCTTCCGTACCCTGATGCGCCCTGGACAGTGCACCTGGCAGCCAAGCTCTTGCGGGAATTTAGCAAGGTGAGGCGAATTCCGGATATAGGGTGAAGCAAGTTTCGGGAATAGCACAGTGAGGTGGACGAGCGAGTAAGGTTACTTTCCCTTGGCGCGGTGATTGCCCCTTAGTGGTTACATGGGGGCGGTTGCATCAATTGCCACGAGGGTTACCAACCCTCCCCTCTTTCCAAAGGAGGAGCGCATGCGGTTCCCCCTTCCTTCTCTTTCTCCCAACCCCTGTGTCCTCCCTTCCCCCTTCTCCTCCTCCACTCCACCTCCCGCCCCGCTCTCTCCCCGTTTTACCCTCCCTCCCCTCCACACCTGGTGTCCCCATCCCCTCGCACGTGCAGGGCAGCGCAGGCAAGGCATGGCCGTACCTGCGGTGCTTGCCTCGGTGGGCGGGGTTGCCGTGGCTGGGGCTGAGGGAGGGTGAGGAGTGGGAGAGGGAGATTCAGCACGAGGGCACGGTGGGGCGCATGAGAGCGATGCTGGAGGAGGCACGGCTGCAGTGGCAGATGTGCCGCCAGGAGGAGAGCGAGCGGGAGAAAGAGAGGGTCGAAAAGTCTGGTGCTGGTGGTGGTGGTGGTGCTGCTGATGGGGCAGTAAGCGGGGAGTGGCAGTGGGAGGGCGGCATAGCACATGCGACATGGCCTGAGTTTGCATGGGCACTGACCATGGTGTTCACGCATGCATACTCGCTGCCTCGTGTGGATGGGTAGGTGGATGGAGAAGTGGTGGGTAGAAGGGTGGGTGGAAGGGTGGCTTTGTGGGCGTCACGGCGTTGTGGGGCATGTGGGTGTGTGGGGCATGTGGGTGTGTGGGGCATGTGGGTGTGTGGATATGTGGGTGTGTGGATGGGTGTGGGTGCATGGGTTCAAATTAGGCACGTAGAAGATCATCAGATTGGCTTCGATGTGCTATGCATGGGTTTTTTTTATATTTGGACGTCACTGTGCCCGATCTGCTCTCTCCCATCCCCATCTCCTTCCCCATTCGCTCCCTTACTCCTTTCCCCACTCCCCCACTCTCCCCGTCCCTCCTTTTCCTCCTCGCCCTCACTTCCCTCCCTCCTTGTGCTCTCGCTCCAAATTTTCCTCTCCGACAACAAATAAATCCCATTTGTCCGTGCGTGCGTGTGTGTTGCATGTGTGTTGCATGTGTGTTGCATGTGTGTTGCATGTTCCCATACTTTTTGCACGTGCGTCTGTTGAACGTCATCCATACCTGCACACGTGCCACCACGACAGCACCGACGCACTCATGCGCATGTTCCTCCCAGTAGCCGACTTGCTCAACCACGACCCCCACAAGGTACGCAGCAATGATGCATGTGCACATGGACGGCACACATACACACCTGCACACGTTGCGACTCGCCACCAAGGCAGCACCGACAAACTCATGCGCATGTTCCTCCCGATAGCCGACTTGCTCAACCACGACCCCCACAAGGTACGCCATTTTGTTCTTTTGAGTCGCCTCAAACGTCCTCCCTCTAGCCTAGCCGGTATACTCCCAACCACGACCTCCACAGGGTGTGAGATACAATCATGCAAGAAGCACATGCTGCATCCCCATCACAGCAGCAGTGCAGCACCCCTTTTCATTCTTCGCAACACCCAAACCTGGTGCCTTGTTCCGCAAATCCCCCCTTGCCCTGCATCCCAAATGCTCTTTTACGTATTACCACGTCACCCAACCCCCACTCAACTCCCGCCATCTCCCACCCTCCATCGCTCATTCGCCATGCCCCGCCACCTGTCCCCTCTCAGGCGAATGTGGACTGGTACTCAACAGGGCTGCATGGGACCGTCTGGAGCTGTTGACCTTGAAACTCTATAGGGCAGCACAGCTCACCCCCCATGTCAGCCGCTCCTGAGTCGACTCAAAAGCCATCCCTCACCCACCACCCATGCATCCCCCTCCCAGGCGAACGTGGACTGGTACTCAGCAGGGCTGCATGAGGACCGTCTGGAGCTCGTAGCTCTGAACCCCATAGCGCGCAGCGCACCCCTCGTGGCAGACTACGGGCAGTACAGCTCCGACCACTTCCTGCTCACCTATGGCTTCGTGCCGCTCGAAAACTCTGCAGACAGAGTGGACGTGTTTCAGGACATGACCCAGGCCGTGACCTGGTACCTCCAGAGGTGCGTTGAATGAAATGATACTTTTGGCGGCTTGAAAACTCTGAAGACAGGGTCGATGTGTTCCAAGACATGACTCAGGCCGTGACTCCAGAGGTGTGTTGCAGAGGGGGTTTGATAAGTTGCGATGAGTCTGTTTTTGAGGTGCCTTCAAAACAGACGTGTTTTAAGATATGACTCAGGCCGTGACCTGGCACCTCCAGAGGTGCTTTGCACGGGTTTATGGTGAGGCTCGGCGGAATCGCTTGTTGCTGTGCATGAGTTTGGGGGGGGCTGTGGCTTGGTGGTGCCTGGAATCTGGAGAGGTACGAGTGGTTTTTGGAGAGGTGAGAATAAGTGGAGAGTTTGGAATAGGTGGAGAGTCTGGAATAAGTGGAGAGGAGAGCTGAGAAAAGGTGGGAAATGTGGGGTAAATGGTGAACTATCAGGGTGCATAGGGTACCTTGCTCACCTGGATGCAGTACTTGGGTTTAATCTCAAATATGACATGTGGTATACTCCCCTGCTCTATGCCCCACGTTTGTCCCCACCTCTGTCCTCAAATATCCCTCACTGTCTGGCACTCTCACAGTCTTCCTCTGTTCTCCTACGCAATATGCGTGGGTAAACAACCTTCCCCTTCTTGCCCTCAAATTCTAAACCCGAAACCCGAAACCCATGGACCACTCCCTCAGGTACTACCAAACGCGCTCAGGCACAATGCACTCGTTCCCTCCAACCGACGACGAGTTCCAGGAGTATGTTCAGGTGGCTCTCGAAGGGGCTGAGGTGGAGCGCAGCAGAGTAACCCCAGACGAATCACGCGAGGGTGGAAGCAGCACGCACGGGGATGGGAAAGGAGACGAGGACGGGGAGGGGGACGAGGGTTTGGACGATCCCACAGGAGCAGCAGCGCATGACATGCCTCTGTATGTGTACCGGGATGCAAGGGTGGACGCGCGGCTGCTGGGGGCGTTTGCAGCGGTGCAGCGGTGGCTGGAGGGGGTGGATTGGGAGGACAGCGAGGAGGAGTGGGTTATGGATGTAGATAATGCTCTTGTTGCAGTGGGCAGGCGGTGCCGTGAGCTCCTTGACGCCTTCCCCACGTCGCTGGCGCGCGACCGAGGGGTGCTGTGGCAGCATCTGCGGTGCTCCCAGCAGCAGGGGAAGAGGCACGGGGAAGGGGGAGAGAGGGCGAGTGGGGAGGAGGCAGGTGTGCAAGGGAGGGAAGCGGGGTCTGGGGAAGTGGTGGGTGATTCCTCCTCCTGTTCCTCTGCACATTCCTCATGCTCTTCTTCCTCCTCCCACTGCGCCTCATCCATGTCATGCCCTGCTGAAGGCGCAGCAGCATGGGAAGAGTGTGCCTCGTCCCGACTTTTGTCCCCCGTACAAGCCACAGCAGTGCGGTTTAGAATAGTCGTGAAGGAGATGCTTGAAGCCGTGGCTGATTCTGCGCCGAAAGCCTTCGAGGAGAGACAGAGAGTGAGACCTGCACAAGCGGAGGACGATGAGGGTATTGCTGAGGCTTGAGGGATGCCGGTTAGTGAAGGCCTGTAGTTGCTCGCTACAGAAAATGATAATGAACTTATTAGAGATCATAAAATCCTGACCCATGCCATGCTACGGTTGTTTGTGCCCTCTAGGTCTTTAATTGCTGCGTAACCACCTTTCAGGGTCTCATTACATCTCAGGTATCAGCTTCTGCTTCTGTGTGAGAACCGGAAGGTATGCACATAAATTCCGTTGCAAGGCCCAAGTTACGGTACCGTATGAATCACCAGTATTGTAACATCCTTTACCAAATATGGCTATATAGCAGAGCTAAACGACAACCTATAGCCGGAAAGCCTATTTATTGAATGGCGTACACATAATGGAGCACTATTTCCCACAATATGGTACCCAACCAGCACAGCAGCACTGCACTGCACTGTCCACAAGGGGTGAGGCAGTGAGCAGAGCAAGCTGGTACTGGTAGCCTAAAATGCTAAATGATACTACCGTATGGTCACAATGCAAGCCATGGGACGATCAGCCGAATGAGGTGCCCAATGCGCAGGGCAGAGCATGGAATACGGTAATACATGGGAATCTAGATGTGGAAGGGAATATGCGAGACACAGAGGATAAAAGGAACTGGGATGGGTGAGTGAGAGGCGAAACTTAAGCCCTGGAGCAGTTGTGTTGTGATTGAGCAGGACGGGTTATTGGAGGAAACTACGTGAGAGATGGGCTGAATATGATACTAGGAGAGGGTGAAATGGTTAGGGTGGGGGACTGGAATGTGGGAGAAATGGCCCATTGTCCACCTTTGATTGGTCTGGTCAGCCTTCTCTCCTACCCCTCCTCCGCCTTTCCCCCACTTCCTGCCCTTCCCCCTTCCCCCGTCCCTCTCGTTTCTCCCTCAATGCAACAGCTGCCTTGGCTGCTCCACATATAAAGCCCCAGCCACCCCAAGCGCCGGACCTACTACGGACGTCGGGAAAACTATGCTTACTAGCGCTGCCACCAACCCCCCCACGAGCGGAACCTTACGGATAGTGCCTTTTGCCATTTGCACCGCTATAACTCCGCCTGTTACGAAGAGCAGTAGGCGGCGCCCGCGATCCGCGGCGACGCGCTTTAAGACGCAGCGCGTGACGCGCTCGAACTCCGCGAAAGAGAGCATGGGCAGCTGCGCGAGCGCGGGATGGCGGGAAAGCGCGAAGTCGAGGTCGCGCGGGGTGGGCACGCGGAGGCAGACGCGGCCGGCGCGCGGATCTAGTTCCGCCGATACTCGCTGACAGGGGGAAAGAGGGGGGGAGGAAGGGAGATGACGTGAGGAAGAAGAGGATAAGAGGGGGAAAGGGTTGCGGGAGAAGGAACAGAAAATGGGGGGAGGAGAGGAGACCATGGGGACGGCGAGAGGTGCGAAATGGGACACGCAGGGGAGGGCAGGTGGAAGAGAGGGAGGGTGGGAGTGGCGGCGAAAGGTGGTGTTACTGGAGCAGGAAAACGTAAGGGAGGCTTTACACCCAAACTCACACCCACCCTCACGCTCACCCTCGCACTTACACCCACCCACCAGCACACCTGCAGCACGGCCTTGCACGCGTCTAGAAGCTGCGCCTGCTGAATGCCCGGCGCCGCGTCGACGCCGTCGGATGGCGGTTTGGACCGCTCCGAGAACGTGGCGGCCACTGCGCGCTGATACACCTCCAGGTCGTCCAGCCGCTCGTCCACGTGTCGCGACACGTGCGCGCCCATCGCAACGTGTCCTCTCCTCGCGCGCGCGACGCGGACCGACTCGCGAGAGTAGTTCACGCGGAGCGGAGCTCTGCCGCGCCGAAGGTAACGGTACTGGAGAAGTAGCTTTAGAAAACAAGTGCGAGAACGAGATTAATGTAGAGAGGGCATCGTGTTCAACGGACGCGCCCGAGTCAAAGGAGCTCGTCACGAGCAGCTACGACTGCCTTGAAACAAGGCGGTTGAGAATGAGCTGGCGTTTCGAAGTGGGCTCCGGTGACCACACGCGACAAATGTGTCAACAGGAGGTGCCAATAGAATAGACTGAGCGTTTCAAGCCGGCAAGGGTCACGCACTAAGGCGCCGTTCTAGATAAGGAGGAGCGCTCTATTTTCAGGCGCCTGACTTATAGACGCGCCCGACAGAACCCGTAAAGCGCTAACTGTGCTGCGTATATTAACCCCTTTACGTGACGTTCCTATACAAGTGACAGCCTCGGCCTGCTTTCAGCCTGGACTTAGCCTCCAGGCCTCAAATGACCTTCGAGCAGCAGCAACACTGAACTGAACACCAAGGCGCAGGAACCTTTCTTGTGCACCAAGCTGGGGATTCTCTGGGTTATGGGATCTCCTTGATACTGTATTCTGTATGGGCTGGGCAGAAGCTCTCTGCTGGGGAGTGTTTTTTGCGGAGGCGTGTTGTGGGGTGAAGTTGCAAAGAAGAAAGCGACACGTTACTGTTCATAGAAAACCGTGAGACTTTTAGGTAAGTAAGAACCCGTTTCTCGATTCCATGCTCGCCGGCAGTCGGTGGGAAACAATTTCTGCAGTTCGTTTCCCCTCTCTTGTGGTCACCCAATCTACGCCGTCGATTAGCTCCGCCGATTGCGTCCAGCCAGAGATGCTATGACTACATCGCCACCACTCCGTAGCGGTGGTTGAAAAATTCGGGACGCGCTGGATCAGGCAGTTGATAATCGCGAGCTGTGCGATCGATGGACGGATCGATGGACGGTTAACATCCACCTTGCGATTGATCATCGCGGAACGACAGGCAGGAAGTGTTACACGTCAGCCCTGGTGGCGACCGACACAACGAAACCCACAACTCGCGAAAGTTCGGGCTAGCTCGATTGAATCACATTCAAGTGGCACACGGAGGAACAAACGTCAAGTCAAATTGTCAAGTCCTCGCTGAAAACAGGAGTATTGTGGAAAATATTGCTATATCATGTCGAAGAGCTTCAGCAACGGAGTTGAGGCAAGCTGCATCATGTCCGCGTTAAAAGTCATCATCAGCGTCTCTTCTAAAACCCAACCTTGAGAAACCAACGCTTCACCTCAACATCACGCCTACCATCATTCAAACTGATCGCAATCCCAACCCAAAGCCCTCATTCGCATCAGGTTAGTTACCATCCCCATCCACCCACCGCCATTCCTCTAGGCCGCTAGGCTTTTCCCGCGAAGCCTCAGCGCCATGGCGAAGAAGCAGAAGCGGACAAAAAAGTTTGTTCGCAAGCATCTCACCAAGGAGATTGAGAAGCGCCGTCGCTTCAAGGTCATCAAGCAGCAGCGCGCCAAGCGCACTGGCGGCGGCTCCAGTAATCCCGAGGATGAAGTCGAGATTCAGAAAGGTTCGTGCGTCTCGTCGCGTTCTCGCCTTTCGTTTTCATCCCATTCCCAAGCGGGAGTTCAATGTTCCAATCCATGGGTTTAGAGATCGTATCCCCACATCCAGTTCGTAAGGTCTTGTCTTGGTAGCATTTTGTCATTAAATGGTGCTTCGCATGTGTTATTACTCACGTCATGTGTCTTCGTTGCCCTCACTTAACCCCCAAGCAGCAGAAGCCCTCGGGATTGCCAAGCTTCCGCTGCAGCAACCGACAAAAGAAAAGAAGTGGGTTGAGAATTCATAACCACGATCGCTAACATGATTTCGCCTGAAAGGGTTTTCGCTAGTGCTGGTATTACATCGCGGGGCTCAATCGGGGTTTAAGGATGGGTGATGGTGGCACCATTCAGGTTACGTTTTGGTCCCTTCCCCTCCCTTACACCCTTTTCCTCCCCGCCCGCTTTTTCCGTCGTTTGCTCCCTTCCCCACCCCTGCCCATCCTGCCCTCCCCGTTCTTCCCCGCTCTCCCCCGTATCTGGTTCCGGCTCGCAACCATTCGCACATTTCGTTACTCGTTTCGCATTCTTTTCGCCCGCATTCGATCCGCCAGGCGACTGGAAGACCTGGGCGTGGATGAGCTGCTGGGCATGGATGACTTCGAGGACTTAGCGGGTGGCGGCGAGGGCGGGGGCGACGGAGAGGACGAAGCGGAGGACGAGGAAGAGGAGGATGAGGAGGAGGAGGAGGAAGAAGAGGAGGAAGAGGAGGAGGAGGATGAGGAGGATGAGGAGGAAGAGGAGGAGGTTGGGAAGGGAGGAGGAACAAAACGTGCCAAGAAAGCCAAGGGGGACGAGGAGGAGGAGGATGATGAGGAAGGGGTAGGGGAAGATGCGGAGGTGGATGAAGAGGCTTTGGAAGGAGAGGAGGGGTTTGAGGAGATTTCTCTCGCGCGGATCGGCATGGCGGAGGACGATGAAGACGAGGAGGAGGAGGAAGAAGCGGCGGAAGGGGCGGAGGCGGCGGAGGCGGCGGAGGGGGAAGAGAAAGTGGGGGGAAAGAAGAAGGGTGGGGACGCGGCGAGGAAGCGGAAGAGCCACCAGCAGCAGCTGGAGGCTCTTAAGAAGAAGGTAAGCGCTGGAGTGGAGAGTTACTAGGTGGTCGGTGACAGGGTTTAAGAAAATGTAGAGGCAAGGGGAAAGGGAAAGTGGGTATCAGGGAAAGGTTCTGCATTTTTTTGTAGCACACCGTACTTGGGAAGGTAGTACCGTCCGTTGTTCTCAATAGGTTGTTCCAGGATCCTTCGGGTCAGGAGTACATCATGATTATGGGGTTTGTTGGAAATTCCAGGAAATTCTGGGGCTATTGGGGAGGACATCGACAGTGGTCTGTGGGTCTGGGCTGTATAATTGTGCTCGGGGTTGAGATGGAAGAGATGAAATGTTGGCGAATTCCTCTGTTGCTGGACTAGTTGAAAGGGTTTCTGGTTTTAGCAGGGTATTTCTTAGATCGTTGCTGAGACAGTAGCTGAAGCTAGCAGCTGTTCTTGTTTTGAGACGTCTCAAAAGCAGCTGTTATTGCTTTGAGAGGTCTCAAAAGCAGCTGTTCTTGATTTGAGACGTCTCAAAAGCAGCTGTTCTTGATTTGAGACGTCTCAAAAGCAGCTGTTCTTGTTTTGAGACGTCTCAAAAGCAGCTGTTCTTGTTTTGAGACGTCTCAAAAGCAGCTGTTCTTGATTTGAGACGTCTCAAAAGCAGCTGTTCTTGCTTTGAGATGTCTCCAAAGCAGCTGTTTGTTCGTCCACTTACTTCGGCTGCGGTTACCTTCTCTGTTCCATGCAATCTCGAGGCGGTGAGTAGGGGTGCCAAACTGTTTCCTTCTCTGCATCTCTGCCTCCGTCTCTGTCCCTGTCCCTCCGTGTCTGTCTGTCTGTCTGTCTGTCTCTCTATCAGGACCCTGCGTTCTACGAGTTTCTAGCGGAAACAGATAAATCCCTCCTGGAATTCAAGGAAGACGCAGAGGGAAAAAAGGGCTCAGCAAAAGCAGCTGCTGCAGCAGGAGGCGGCGAGGGGGAAGAAGGGGAGGAGGACGACGAGGATGAGAGTGATGGTGATGGTGAGGAGAAGGGAGGAGGAGGAGGGAAGGGGAAGAAGGGCAAGTCTGGTGTGCTGCCGGTGCTGACCACGGAGATGGTGGACCGTTGGATCGAGGCGGCGATGGACGGCGGATCGCAGGGCGCGATGAAGAAGCTGATGCAGGCGTTTCACTCTGCGTGCCACGACGCTGAGAGCTTCACTGGGGTTGTGCGGAGATCCAGTGGGGGAGGGAAGGGCGGAAGTGGAAGCGGCGGAGGCGGAGGGAAGAAGAAGAAGGGGGGAGATGACGAGGAGGACGAGGAGGGGGACGAAGGGGAGGAGGGGTTTGGGTTGACAGCAGATAGGAAGATGAAGCAGAGGGAGCGCAAGCCGCAGTACCGGCTCGCGAGCGGGAACGTTTTCAACCGTGTGATCCTGTTCGCGTTCAAAGAGACGGACAGGATCGTCCGGATCCTCCTCAGCGACGTATCCGACGGCAAGGGGCGGCAGGTGAAGAAGGGCGGTAAGGGCGGGGGAGATGGGGAGGAGGACGGGGGGGATGGCGACGGTGGTGCTGGCGGCGGAGACAACAAATTCGCGGGAAGGCTGGGGAAGAAGAAGCTGCGATCGCTCCTGCGTAAGCAGGCGAGGAGGGGGAACGAGGCGGACGCGTGGGGGCGGGGGAGCGCGGGAGTCGACTCGATGGAAAAGCCATGGGAGGCCAGTCCCCGCTGGTCTAAAGTCAGCCAGATCGTCCGAAACTACCTCTCCACGGCCGTGCATCTGCTCTCCACCATGGCAGACTCCCGCCTGCTCACCTTCGCGCTGCGCTGCCTGAAACCGTCCGTGCCGCTCCTCGCAAGCTTCCCGATCATCGGGAAGAAGCTCGTGCGGATTGCGATTCACCACTGGGGGTCCGGGGAAGGGTCACTCCCGCTCGCTGCGCTCGTGGTCCTGCGGGAAATAGCTCTCTTCCTGCCGTCGGACTGGGTGGAGGCGATCGTGAGGCAGGCGTACCGGGAGTTTGCGGCGCAGTGCAAGTTCGTGTCGCCGTCTTCGCTGCCGCGGATCGCGTTCCTGTGCGCGGGAGTGGCGGAGCTCGCGCTCACGGACCCTGCGGCTGTCTACCCGCACGCGTTTGTGTCGATCCGGCAGCTGGCGCTGCTGCTCCGAGGGGCCCTCAGCATGAAGACCAAGGTGCGTGTGGTGATTTGATTTGATCTGATCTGATTTGATCTGATTGTGCCGTCCGTGCGTCTATGTAAGTCAACGCACGTTTCTTTCAGAATCTACCTGGTTTGTGTAAAACAATCTCTTACCTACCTCACCCCTACC